CGTCATTGTCATATCGAGTAGTGATCATATCACAGTTCATGTCTCCCAGTACAAAAGATTCTACATTTTCACTATCCAATTTTCCAATTAGGGATTCAAAAGGTGAAAAAATGCCAATAGGAGAGTCAGGTGGTCTGTACCAAGTAACAATCACAAAAGGTTTTGAATTTGGCTTATGGATTTCCAAGCAAAGATTTTCTAATGCACCCATATGTAGGTCATTTCGTACAGTAAAGTTGATTGAGGTTTTTACATAGAAGCATACCCCTCCGCCGGATTTTGTAAGTCTATCGCGGCGAATTATTTCGTATCCCGAAATATGAACTTCATGATCTCGAATACTCTCGTTCAGTTTCGTTTCATTTATGGAAATAATATCGATATCATTGTTTGCTAATAGGATTCTTAGCTCGTCTATATGAGTTGTTAATTGATTAATATTGAATGATGCCATTTTAAAACCGCGCAAAGGAGGCAATAGTGAGATAGATTTTTCGGCTCTTTGGTTGCTTAATCGGTCCCGCACGGCATTGACGGAAATTTAATAGGTGGAGATGAAGTGAATTGAAGTGAATGAAGTGAATTCCTAAAGCGCAGACAGTGACCTTCACAACAAAACAAACTAACAAAAATAGGGCAGGTTAAATGAATACCAAGATGAGACGGATAAAAAAAACTTACCAAATGCAATGAATAATTTTATAAAATCGGAAGGGGTTATAACGCACAGCTAAAAATAAAACACACACTGCTATAAGGGCGTGAAGTATGAAATGTATTGGGAGACGTAATTCTCGTAAAGCGCTAAAATAATATTTCATATAACGAAAGAATTGCTCGTAAATGAACTGGTGCGCGGTGCATAATAGGTGTTAAGGAAAATAAAGAAATAAATAATTCACCACAGCAGAGTCTCACGATATTTCCTGTTAGAATTTTTTTTTGTCTTCCAGTTTCAGTTGGGCAGAATTGCTGGGTCTCCAGTTTACGGTGAAACTCGTAATTATATTTCTTAGCGAGAATTGATTCTTCACGCAGTAAAAATGGGGAAAAAATTGGAAAAGGTGAAAAGATTTGAATTTACCTTTATTACACAAATAAATCGGTTATCAATGATCTACATGGATGTTAGGCTTAGTCAAGTTTTTAGCAAAGGATTAAATTTATTACGTAACAACAGAGGGTCTCAGTAGGGTAATGGCTTTTCCTGTTATTGTTAAAATTTTGGCCATTTTATGGCTAACAGTTGATTTATTTTCGTTCGTGTTCACAGAAAGTTTTCATTTTCACACTGTTTACGACATACGGTTAAAATTTGTCAATTTTCAGGCCCAACAGCTTAATCATTTTTGCTGCGTCTTACCACTAAAAGTTCACCCCATTGAGACACTCATCCCCCACACAGTTTACATAAAATGTGAACCCTTGAATAGTGATGAGGTTGGCCGTTTATGGCAACGAAGATTCATTCTGTTTGCAGATTCTCAAAATGAACGTTTTTGCGTGTGTTTGAGATATATTTCTCCACACCGACACCATGCTATTCTTAACAATTCCCGTAATTTGTCAGTTATCATCCGCATCGCAATGGTTCGAAATGCTGCATATATTCACTTGTGTTGGAGAGCCCCTATAAGTGTTTAAAATTAAGAAAAGACTAGATCATTTTTTGTTTCCATGACTTATTTCACATTTCTTATCTTTTGATACTAGCGTCACGTAATTAGATCATTTTTCTTAAGGAACTAGGAAATATGGGGAAGGAATTCACTTTAAGAGGGCAATTAAACTCGGTCAGTGAAACGTTTGAATTGTGGGCATTGATAACGAGTTTAGGATAAGCTTTTTCCTGCTATAAACGGGGAGCGTCTAGTCATTCCGACTCCTCCTGATATATCTATCTCCTCTTTAAGACTTTTATTTTTCACAGAGTTGCCTAAATTCAACGACTTAAGCTAAGAGTGTCAGATTCTCAGAACTGTCACAAAAGTTATTCCACTGCTATCTGCCGAAAAGTTAATTTTTTTTTTAATTCTGATACTGCTTTATGATCAGACAATACCACGATGCTCGATCTCGTTATTTCAAACTCTATATTAAATAAAATCTTAGGTATTCTTCTCCTTAATGTTTTTACGTAACTAAGTCTGAAAGCAAGTTTTACCCTGTTACTGAAACCATTTCTTGGGGTATTCTTTGAATAAAACCTTCCGTGATCGAATGGCTTTCAGTACTTAAACGGAAAAAGGTACTTACAACGTTTAAAATGAATCTGAGGATGATTGTATTGTTGCCAAATCATTGGGTGTCCTCTAGTATTTGCTTATATGTTTGAAATGGTCATGGTTTGCTCTTTCCATCCACTCAACAAAATATCATCGAAAATCTAAACAACGAATAAGACTTTATTTCCGTCAGGCGCCTTTTTCACACCTTTGTGCCGCAATTTAAAAATGAACTGCCGAGACGCTTTGAGAACATTAAGATTTCAGCTTCTACCTCGGCCCAACACCGTTCGGTTTTCCTCAGCTCCAAGAGACTTGAGACACTCCACCTGCGTCGGACGAGATTTTGGATTCGAGGAAAAGGTTCGCAACAATTTACGTCTCATGACGAAGTTTAATCTGTGTATAGTGATATGACATTTATATGTGTGTGTGTGTGTGTATGGAAGATACACTTTTTTAAGTGAGACACTCTCTCGTTTTTTCTTGATTGTGGCTACGCATTCTTATCCGCAAAATTGAGCGACAATAACATTGTCATAGTACGGGATCTTTGCTTAAAAAAAAAAGATCATCCAGAATAGTGGCTATTTTGAACAGTTTCTTCGTCATCAATGTAGCAAGGCTGCTACTCCTCATTTGTTCTCGTCTTTAAGAGCTGTACTTTCTTTTTTCGGCCGAGGAACTAGACAATTTATTCCGCTCCATTTGGAAATGATCGATTTTTTTCGAAATGTTCATACATGTTTTGAAAAATTTAAAAAAGGAAGGAAGTCTCTATATCTTCTAGGTTCCTGCCCACATGACGGATGTTTAAAAAAAACCTTATTTGCATATGAAATTAAAACAGTATATCTCCACAGACTTCTGAAATGTTTTTGTCGTGGTCCAGACCTAGGAAGTCGTTCTTTTATAAACTTCTTCATTACGGAAACAAATCATGTTTTTTAGGTATTTTTTCACTCACTAACTATCCATTTTGCTTCTTCAGTTTCCGATCCCAAACAAAGGATACTTTTTCGTAAATTAAGAAAATATTTCCTAATGAATTGGGTTAATCATTCGAGATTAAGCAAGATTAAGCACTCTTTTGTGGTCTTAAATTAATGTCATTAATGAGACTTATTTGATAAATTAAGTTTGGTAATCCTCTTAAAATGAATTTCAAATTTTATGAAAGTTTCATAAGAAAACGTAATTATCACCGGTGCGATCTGGACTATCCTAATATCCATCGGTTCCAAAGACTTGCTACGAGTACGATAATGAAAATAATTCTTCGTGAGATCAAGTAGACGGAGAGCAAATGAATTTGAATCTCTCATGCAATAAATCATTAGTGAAAGAGAAACCTCGGACTTCTAGATGATGTTTCAGTTATTTACTCTACTTCTCTATCAGTAAATAACTTAAATGAACAGCCAGCCGGTAGAATGCTTTTCAAGAAGGATAAAATCTCTGCGAATAATCATCTCAAGGCGTTATTTCGGAACGACTGCGAGAACGTCTGATTAAAGGCGAGCGAACGGTTGCAATTTCACAACGAACAATCATAGAAAACACTTGAAAGTTCTAAATTCGAAAAATTAATGGGAGAGATTTTTCTTGACATTGGTTGCTTTAATTCAGGGTTGAAGCTCAGCAAATGGTACCCTCTCAGAGGAACATCAGGAATAATTAAATTTCATTTATCTTCTCAAACATTTGAAAACCGAAGCGAACATCACTTCGTGCTTATAAAATCGCTATTTTAATCCTTAAATTCGAGTCAGCTGGTCCTTTCTGTTTTACTTACAGTCAACAATTGTTATTATTTTACAGAGGCAACTAAAAGTTTAATTAATTTTCAACCTTGCACAATGGTATTCAAAAGAAAAGCAAACAACGTTGTTTTCGAAAGTTCTTCACGAGCAAGTTATGTTGGTTTTTCCGTTTCGCTGAGGCGTTACGTAGACTTGAGTTGAAAAATAAATATTTTTTCACAAAGCTGATTTTTCCACGAGAGCACTTTTACGATAAGTAATAGCATTATTTCATCGAAGAAAGGTTAATTAAGTACGAAAGGAAAAAAAAATAGTAACGGAATTATTTATCTGTTTCCTGTACATTGTAGAAATATTACAACTTATTTATTCAAAAAACGAACTTCGTTCGGAGAAATAACGAGCCACCGATGATTAAGAATTTTTGCGCATTCTGAAAGCAAAAAAGTAATAGGGGAAATGAACTTTTCTCTGATAAAAATAACAACATGAATCTAGATTTCTGCGTAAATTTAGATTTCTGTGTAAAATTTTCTGCTCGTGTACGTCATAGGAAGCGTGTGGGCTTGGATAACTTATGTCGAATTGCACAATCGGTGAACCAGATTTCATTTGATCGAGTTGGAACAATGTCACCAAAGTGAAAAAAGAAAGGGAAATTACAGAGACCTACAACTGAGTTATATGACCGCCAACAGCTTGAAAACTAGTGCAGTTTTTGATTTCTCCAATTCCCTTTACATCGAGCTGCAACAATACTTTTAGTATGAAAACTTGCGCACTAAATGAATTGTTCGCAATTTCCTCAGCATGTGATGTAATTGTTCGCAAAGAAAGTCAATTTCCTGAGAGGTTCGTTCAAAATTGATGCTAACTGGATGTAAATAATGTGTAAACGAGGTTTACCATAAAAGCCGCTGTCTTTTATTCTTTGTTAATTCTTTGAAGCTTAGAAAACGTTGACAAAAAAAACTATCGTCACCAACAGGGCATAGTTTTTAGAAGGCTACAAAATAAAAGTGCGTTGCTCCGCTGTTGAAACGCACTTTAGTTCCGCTTTGATGATAGGCAGCTTACCAGCCAATTTTGCAAGTTTCTCTCAGGCTCCATCTTTGTTAAGCTAGAAGCTTTTCATATCCCTTAGAGGTGAGATTTTTTCTAATTTTTAAACGAGGTGCAGATGCTACGCTGTGTTGGTGCATGTTGTAGAATAGCAAGTAGTCATGTCTTATCATGCCGGATTCCAGTCCGTCTGCGAGAAGAATCTTTCAACATATGATTATGATTTCACTTAATTTCAGAAAATTAACTCTAAGACATTCCGTTAATCGTTCAGTTCTACTTGATATCAGAGTGAAACTGAAAAGCGGTTGTAATCCAATGAGATTCAGAGTAAGCGCGCCATAGTTTTTCCGTTCTAATTTTCCTGTTCCACCACCCTGATCTGGTGTGAAACTACAAACAGAGGACTAATTTCTCAGAAATACTGTTGAGCAGTATTTTCACATGAATCTGACGTGAAGTAAGAATCGTAGAGCATAAGTGAAGCCGAAATTCAATGTCTTATCATTACACAGTAATCGTTGTAAGATGCGTTTTCCGTTGTTTACAATGGTAAACAAAATTGGTAGCGAACGTCCTCATTAGAAAACTTATGTCCACAAGACTACATGAATAGAATATCCGAAAATGAAAGAAGATATTATTCAGTGAATTACATAGGCATACTCGGAGAAAAGAACTACGACCTTCCGATCAGTACTTCGGATGCTCTTCCACTGAGCTATAGAGGAATCCTGGCGGGTTAGGCCGTTTAACTATTCCATGCTGACAAAGTTCCTGCATACTGCTGGGATAGGAATGTCAATATGAGACGTCTATGTTCAATGATGATGTGAATGATGAAAATATCAGAATATGTTGCAAGGAAATTCATTTCGGCCATTTAATTCCAGCAAAGCTGCTGAACAAGCCGTACTACTTCCCAATCATTTTTTTTAAGTGTGTACGACATACATGTAGGTCTACTAGTTGAGTGCGCACAGATTCTTGACTGAAAAAACCTATAGCAAGGAACCATTTTGCTGGCAGACCAGATGAATAGCCTCACTCAACCTATCTCGGAAGTTTTACTGTTTGCTCAGTTACTGAACAGAGAGCATTCCTATCTTAATTGAATCGCTCAACTTATGATAAAGAGAAACTCATTGCGATATGGTTCTTCAAGTGCGCTGTCCTAAGTAATGTTTGTATCGTTAGTGATCAGTAACCCAGTTGATGAAGGCTTCGTAAAATAAATGAACAATATGTAACCAAGTTGAAAACTACTCTCTGGGAAAAAAGCGAGCTTGGAATTAAAGACCTTAACGAGTCAGCCCTTGAAAAAGGCGAAAGAAAATATTGAAAAACAAATAGACCATCAGGATATAATCACGCTGATAAACTAGGTTCCTATAGCGGATGTAGAATTCAGGATCAGAAAATTATTTTTGTCTTTTTTTTCAATTTTTCCTTTCGTGATCAATGAAATTAATAATTGGAAATGAAGCAGAACGAATATTTTCAACCTAAATATGCGCCGACAGAACAATGAATTAATCACAATACAATCAACTGCAGTCGAACCTGTACTGAGCGGCGACATACTAAGCGGTCATCCTGTATGTAGCGCTCACCTTCTCCTACGCGATCGCTTGTTAAAGTCCCGATATTTGTTCCCCTTCAATCACTTTAACTGTCACCTCTATTAAGCGGTCGTAGTCGCGAGTCCAAACGGCGTGTTTGTATTGTCTTCCACCTGTTTTGAACGGACACTAAAGCGGAACCACTCAAATAAAACTAACAACAATCTTTGAAGTAAAATTTAATCCATATATCTCCCGCAAAATTAACATTCTTAGAATTTTGAGCAAGATTTTTAATATAAATGGTTAATTATTGGCACAAAGTGACGTTTTTATCGTTTTGCATCTTACCCCTTTTATGCGTAACCTGCATTAAGCGCCAATCCCCGTGGGTGACCGTTTAATACAGTTATGACTGTATTATGTTTAGCCAAGAGAATATTGATAGTCTCTTGGTTTAGCTTTTTTTTAACCCTTTCCTTTTAAAACATGAGAGACCAGTTATCATTGTGCGGTGCAGAGGATTTTTGGGACATGGTTTTCAGGGGGGACATATGGGAAACAGTCGTCGATAACAGAGTATAAGGGGGAGTGGATAAAAGAAAATTGTCCCATTTTCCTCCTTTAGAAACCTTGCTCGGGAGCAAGGTTTTTTGATGGGGTCAACTATCCAGTTATTGCATTGTTGTAGTATAGAAAAAATATATTTAAACCTTAAATTTCAAATGAGGTAAATTTTATTGTGAAACTAAAAAGTCACCCGACCCTTCCCCCCTTCCCCCTTACCCCCTTCCCCTCTTCCCCTTTAACACCCCCCGTCCCTTTCTGTAATAAAATATACTTTAAAACGGAAGAAAATAAAATGCGGAAGAAATTGTGTGCACATTTTTAAATGAAATTCTTGCGATACTTACTGAAATGAAGTGGAAATTGTCTTTTCTCAGATGAACGAGATACTCAAAATCTTGATGCTCCTGATGATTGCTGCCAGCACGATGACACAGGATGCCTCACAAAGCGACAGTATTGCGGTGAATCACAGTGAACCACAGGACACCGCACAACAGAGTGACTTGGCTTCAGCAATCAACAAACAACATCCTAGCAGATTGGAACCGTGTTTTCCACTTTGCTTTCCGGACTACGGCAAGCGAGAATATCTAGTTGGAGAAAGGGCTGAAAAAGACTTGTTGAACACAAACAAAAGATCCCTGTTTAAACAAGTTAAAGGTTTCATTCCACAGTTTATATGGAAAGCTTTCAAACGAGAACAAGCATTAGAAGCAATTAAAAAGAGTGGAAGTCATTAACCTCCACTGGGAAGCAGGCAAATATAGACACAAGGTTAGTAGCTTGTTTCTTTATCTTATCCATGTGGTTGGACTGTATAATTTTTGAGATAGTTCTCTCTGTGTTCACATTGCATCTTCAGCTCCTGCGTAATATGATAATACAAGTTCTCGCGGCAAACTCGACTCAACTGTCACTATGATAAATTTGTGGACACGAGGAAACTAATGCATGCCCTACCAACATACCTGGGTCGTATTATGTACTTATTGACTGAGTGGGCGACTGGGGGAGGGGGGGGGCCGGACAGGAGAATATTTGGCTCGAGATCATGACTTAGGGACCTAGGGTAGCGAGTTCAATGCGTCATGACCAAGAGCCAAATATTTTACCGTCGGGCCCCAGTCTCCCACTCAGTCAATAAGCATCTTATCATATGACCAATAAATGTTACAAAATTTCGAAAATTTTTTTCGAAATTTTTTTCGACCTAAATAGTACGCGATAAACGGATGCAAGCGGGACAACCAGAAAAAGGACTCTACGATAAACTTCCCCCTTTGTTTCTTCGAGTCAGAACAAGAAACTCAGAATTCATCGAAAAACGCGCCTATTTTGCTACTTTCTTTTTCCTTTAAGTTTTTTGCGACAGAGCCGTGTGAGTGTAGTACCGGTAACCAATCAAAACACAAGATTCGCTTCATACTGCCCGAGGGCACTGCCAGCGATATGATATGTTCACTTCCTCTCCCTGTTGTAAGAGCCAAAACATTTTTATCTTGGATGGGCCTATCAATTAGTATAAAGAATCTTTCAAATGAGCGCTCTTATTCTTCCACGTTTTTCATTTACCTAATTAATTCTTGTGTTTTTTACGTTACCGTGTTCCCACCAAAAGCGTGACTCCATTTTTCTGCATTCAAACCCCACGCAAGCCACAATTCCTCTATTCGCTCTGACGAAGGGCTCATGTTCAAAACATTAGCCTTAGCAACTCTTTTCAGCGGCCAATTTTCATCATCATCTCATTTAATCAAATCAAATTATCTAACCATCAGTGTGTAATTTTTGTATTATTACAGGGCCGCTGAGAGTATGAACAGTTAACAAGCTTAACCAAGAAAGCGCATGTGTTCTTAAAATGAGGCCATAGGAAGAAATGAAAATCATAACAATTTTAAAGATCCCAAAGAAAAGCATCGCTCTACCAATAAAAGACTATTATCCTCAACAAGACCGTGGTCTTTTTTGGTCTCTCTTATCATTTAAACAACTTTGACGGTAATGATAAAATTTCCATAAATAAAACGAAAACAAAGATTCCAAACAACGACCTCAAACATTTCGATTGACAAGCTGTGACTTGTGCCATTCACTCTTTATTATGAGGGGATTCTGTGGGGGAGAGAAAGAGGAGGGGGAGGGGAAGAGGAGGGGAGGGGAGGGGAGGAGGAGAAGATGAGGGGAGGGGAAGGGGGAAAGGGAGGAGAGGGGAGGGGTGGGGAAGAGGAGGGGAGGGGACGGTAGGCGAGGGGAGGATACTACAGAACGAAGGTAAAACAGGTTAAACACACTCGTGTTTTCTGGTCGGTTGACTTTTTTGTGTGGCATGGTTCCATTTGATACTTCTCTTCTATTAATCATTCGGCCCAGAAATAACGAACTTCCAATACCTTTGTTTTACGAATTATAGTCCAGAAATCATCAAAAAATTACTTCATTGCGCCGAAGACTGCAAAGAAGTTAAATCACTTTGGAATTAGCAAAATCTAAAACAAAAAGGGCCTAAAGGTCCAGAATAAATGAAAAAGAAAAAAAGAACGTTACTGAACAGCCTTTTCCAATTCCAAAGCAGGAATATTTTGTTGTGTTTTACGTTAGAAACAAGACGGAAATCTATTTTAAGACAGAATAGATGACAGACCACCCAGGCTGACCGGAAAACCGGCAACTCGTAACAGCTGAGAATGTCCAGAAACAGTTGCCAAAAAGAAAATAGCAAAAACGAATTAAAAAATTTCCTGAGTTGGACGATAGCATCACAGCACGGTTTATTCTTTGACGAAAAAAAAATAGACGAGATTTGTAAAGATGTGCTTTATCCCAAAGCTTCATCTTACACCTTTACTCTGGTGTGTGGAAATTTTTCCCATTTTAAAAGAAAATAAACAAAGCAGTATCCCCGGAAATGGATCTATCGTACTTAGCAATCTTTTTTTGAGGACATGAAAGACAAAGGGAAAAGTTGTTTCAATCAAAAGAAGAAATTTCAGATTTTTAAATTTCATTCTGAAATAGAAATCGTATGATTTAATTCAGTGTTTTTGTTTCGGTACTTGTGTTTTATTCTGACTAGATCATTTGAAACCCTCGACTTGTTCCCTTTAATCGTTGGCAAAATGCACGAATCTTAGTACCAATTTACGCTTGTCAAACTGTGGGATTGACTTCTGTTTATGCATACAGTTCAAGCATTTCTATCTAGCTGAGAAGATACTGTAGCCAATATAAAATTGGCACGATAAGGCACTGCCAAATGGCAAGTTATTCAAGGTGTTTTTAATTTTCTTGACACTTTCTCCAAGTTAGATTGAATTGTTTTCCAATTTTTTTATCCGTGTAATTTTTTTGCATATATTTTTACCATGTCACTGACCTATGCCACCGTGCGGGTGATTCTCCTCCATGAGAACAGAATGCGACTTTTAGCGACTTTTTAGCGATTTTTTAAGCTAAGGCTTGGAAAGCCAACTCCCCAGTTCGAACTTCTAGCTCACAAGTCTCGTGCTACCTTTTCAAGGCCACGGCCCTAAAAAAGTACAGAACTGTGATTTCATATCTCCAACAAGACAGCTATTTCCTTCCGTTTTCTTCAACTTATAAAATATTTTGGTTGTCTTTATAGTCCCATCCAATCCACTGAGCAGATAGTCTTTTTAATCAGCTCGTAAAGCATGCTAACTGTTACACGACCTTCATGCCTTGTTTCCTTTCTTATCTATTGTAACACTTTCTAAGAAAAGGGTGTCACATGGCTGAGTACGTTGGACGGTATACAAGCGTTTCATTCTCACTAGAAAAGCAAATATTATTGCCAACAATTATATACTTTTTTCTTGTTAAAAGGGATAGAAACTCCGGCTAACTGTTTGAATATCTAAATCCAAAAGAGCGCGTTACTTTGCATGTGTCTTAGGTGGCATTGTGACCATGGTAACGTCTTGGTTTAAGATATCCACTTTAACGTTTAGGCCATAACCCTGCATTCCTCACCTTGGAACAAACAGAATTAAAATAAACACTTACTTAGAAAAGAATAGATACTTCAGTTACAACATTATTTTATGATGAGAGTAGAGATACTTTCAAAACCCCTCGAACAAAAAGCAGATGGCACTAGAAGATATTTCTAAAATTCCTCCAAAAAACTTGCCCATTAGTTCATGTCAAATCAGATAATTCTCGGGGGGTTACTACCAGTACTTGAAATTTTCCATTTGCACTTCCTATTTTGAGTGACAGCCGCTTGTGAAAGGGGCTTCTAGTCGTTCCGGTTTCTTAACCTTGGCGCATTTTGAAACGCAGCCATATAACTGAAAATCAAACAATACGGATTCAGTCCTTATCTCACAATAGTCAGTCGTATCTCAAGAGTTTCTCGTTTATTTAGGACCCTGGACTATTTAAAACCAAAATATGTTGTGTACAGAAACACGATCTATAATAATTCCGACGCGACTTAAATCAGGTATGCACCTTTGAAGGCAGTGTCAGATTCTGCTGGAGACCAGCGATCTGAACAACAGGCGAAGAGCTGTAGTGAATCTTTGAACGAAAGAAAATCTGTGTAGTATGGGTAAGTAGTAGACATTTTATCTGAATGTTGTTAGGGTGCATTACCTATCAGCGTCTTAAACCATCATAAGTCCGTGTGCTCTTTATAAAATATCCAGGCTTACTGAGAATGATTTGATTATCGTCACAAATTCGCCACTCGGGGAATTCTCTTCCAAGAAATCTTAGATATGATGGAGCGTCAATCCCCAGTTTTATCTCCTTGATCATGAAGAGCGAGATGTTATGCTCCTAGGTTCATAATTGTTCAGTAATATCTGAATTGAACCCAACTGAAGCGAATAGGGCGCCTTTCATTAAATTTGTACTCTCTAGAAATCGATAATGGTCCGACAATTTGGCACAGCTTTCGACAATTAAATTGACGGTAGGATATGAGAGCAAAGAAGGGATCCATACCGAATCGTCAGTCTTGTTTGGAAAAAAAAACTCTTTCTTTCTGTCTTTATGTCAAGAGGCACGACAAGGAGCCGTTCCTTTTAATCCAATTTTGAAAAACTGAAAAACAAAGCGGATGTATCGGTCAATAGGGGTGCATATACGCATGTACATCAAATTGTCATTGACCTTATTATGGCATCAATCGTTGCAGCAAAATTTCAGTTGGAAACTTCTCGTTCTGTTGCAATGATTAGTTAACAGTAGGGAAGATGTAGGCGAGGTTGTCTTTTCTTAGATATTTTTAACCTTTTATCGACTACTAATTGAAAGAACAGCGGATGGCAACGTGTCAGATTAAGTAATTAGTCGATGAAATATAACCGTTTGTCAGTTCTATTGCTGTTATTTAGAGGGCAAGCCGAGACCGATGGTACGAAAGCAATAATGAGTGTAAACATGCAGTGAAACCAGATCAAGCCAAGCTTTACATTTCATACGAATAATAAAGAAACTGGTTCAACCAGTTTTTCGAAACTTAAAAAATCTTTACATACTTGTTATAAGATATCTCCCCAATTGGAAAATAATACAAAGAGAATGCTGGCCTTAGCACAAGTGAAGCGTCGATAAATATATATCCAAACCCACAAATTCTCGTCAACTGAGCGATCATCTAAGATCAGTATAAATGTATTTTTGGGTGGGAAAATTTGCTTTAAGGAAGTAAACTTCGTGCGACTATCAGCGTAAACGTCCGATATTAGGGTTGAAAGTTAACCCTAAACATGTTAAATTTGATTTTATGCCAATGTTGATGGTATTTGAATCATACTATGCTTTGGGGGGGTTCAGTGTGCTATTTTAGGAAGCGAACGAGAAAATTTTGCGAAGAAACTTCCCACAGTTCTCATGCTAAAAGCATCAGCTTCCTAACAGGTGTTCCTCTCCCTTCCGAGGGCTTCTTTCATTGTGGTGCGCAAAGTTGAAACTAATATCTGAACGACCACTTTTCTAAATGCACTAAAGTCCACTGGCGTTTTCAATAATTAATTTGTCGAGCAAAGATTAGCTGTCTGCCCTTTAGCAGTTATACAGTTCGATAGTGGATATGGGTGTATCCTCTCGTGTCTCGACAAGTTGTAAAACTTGAAGGTCAACCATAGTGATGGTTGAGTGGACAGTTTCTTTCCAACTATTACCATCTTTTATGGCGTAAATAAGGAAAACGGAGATGTAACGCATGTTACACGTTGCTCTCGACTAGGGCGGTGAGGCGCCACGAAACTCGTGGACATTAAAGGAGAAATTTCTCTCGTTTCTCGTTTCTTTTAGATGATTATAAGAAAGACGGCAAGAAAATGGTCAAAGAAGAGTCCAAGGAAGAGAAAATGTGTGCACAGTGCAGCAAAACAATTGAGGGCAAGTTTTTGCTACGAGCTTTGGACAAGTTTTGGCACGAAGAGTGCTTGAAATGTTCGTATTGCAACACACAGCTGGCAGACTTAAGCTTTAAGTTTTACCTCAGGGAAGATTTAAAACTTTGTAAACGAGACTACATCAGGTAAAGCATAAATGTTTCTTTTCTAATTGCAAGAATATCTGTGTATTCATCCTCTCTATCATTAAGGAAGAATTATATAGTGAAACTTAAATACGCAGGAACCATTTCTACAGATTTTAAAATTGTTCAATTTTTTTCATTGTAAAATTTTCCTGAAAGCTCAGAAAAGAAAACGGAATACTTCTGTTTGTGATCATTAGATTCTATTGCTGCGAAATAATGATGAAGATAGAAGAAGTATTAGGATTAGTTCGTAAAATTTGTAGATTTTCGCTGTACAGTTTTAATTCCTTTCCATGGTTATAACCTTGGCCCAGATCAGTAACTCCGGTAATTCCACGGCATATCAATTTCCTGCTCAAACTTTTTAAACCTTTTACTAACCATTATACTGAAAACTGGCCAACAGCCAACTTAATCAGTTTATAATTACTAAAAACGGCAACATAGTCCAAAACGAAATAAGAACTTAACGAATGTTCTCTTTCCTCTTTAAAAACTATATCATAATACAGTATGGTGTGCATTACTAAACGCTTTTTATCATTTTTCAAGCTGGTTGAAAAGATTTATCTATGATGGACGCTGAGTGAAAATGCTTCAGCTTCCCGGCAAACGTATTATGAAGTTTGGTTGAATAAACTCTACATGTTGTTAGCTTCTGGCACAAACGGGAAATGGGTACTTGATCAAATTCTATTTCCTTGATCGGAAGGCGACAGTTAATAATAACTACTTTGTTCTGAATAAGGCAACACACTATCGTGTAATAAGTTTGAACCTTGTCGATGATTAGCCAGTGAATGAGCCTTTAACCGTAAATTTCCACAGCGTATTAACAGGTAAAATTACCGGAAATTTTCAAGTGAGCACCAGCTGCTTGCATTGTTAAAATTAACTTGCTGTGTTTTCTCCTTTTTCTTTTATATTTCTGTGTACTCGATAAAGTTTTTTTTTTGGATATTTTTCAGCTGAGAGATTCTCAGTACACGATATCTAGTATGTGTTCTCTTGATTATTTATTATTACTCAACTGAACGTAAAAACTGCAGATAGACCGTCTTGTTAACATTGAGAGGAGTGATGCGTCCGTCTTCTTGAAATGCAGACACAACTGATTAGCAACTACAGTAATTAATCAACGACCTTAACAGGATCAACAGTTTGTGAGTGTTCTTACTCAAATCAAGCTGTGAACCTACCTCTCACATTTTTTCTAATTCACTAACACATAAATGTATTCAAAAGATGCTGTATTAATGAAATCAAGCGAGCATTCATGTTCCATTCCGCAGCCATAAAAAAGTTCGTTAACTCATTTCTTCAGGCCTAAATGGCAATTTTCAGGCCTAAGCCTCCACGGGTTAATAATATCACTGCTACCATTCGACCTTCTGTCATCCTTTTAAACAAATTAAATTTTTTATAAGCTGCTTTTGTCTGGGAGCATAAATCTGTCTTCAGTTTTACACGCAGGTATCGCAAACAACATAATCGGATCTAAGGGATTATTCCACTAAGTCCGCGTAAATTGATCGAAGACAGCCAGCCTCTTGCACGTGACCAGCTGAGAGGATGGTTCTCAGTGTATTTATAAGACATAGCATGTTTCCCTTTTTATTATTCCAAGCGAAACTACACTCGTGGGGATCATTCTGTCAACTCTGGAATAAATACCCTTACCTATACGTGACCTAATCGACTGAAAGTCATGACTCTTTTCAGTAAGTTAAAAATGTAAAGCAATCTCCATGTTCTTTGTGATAGCTGTTTATATGGCGAGAGATGACATTTCCTTAAACATGAAACTGAGTAAAAATGCTATAAGTTATAAATAACCAGCTATGGTAAATTGCTAAAAGTTTTCACCAAATTTTTTAAATAGCTACGAGATTATAACCACACACGGCGTTTCTCATTTCACTGACCTTGGCACGTAGATCAATTTTGAAGTATAATGGGTTTTGTTTACTCTCCCTTTATTTGCTTTAAATTTATCACATGGCAGTGTTTAAGTAACCTTTAATCTACTGCAGACATGCCTTTTTTTAGCAATAAGTCAGGTGATAACTTACTTTAGCTTCTCTTCATCATCATTGAATTTAACTGGGCAGTTTTAAAAATCCTCACTGTTACTTTGATGATGCTTTGGCAATGTTTCCTAGTGACTAGTGAACTTCGATCAGAAGTAGTTATAAATAAAGTCATTGAGTGGCTCAATATTTTAGCAATACCTTGGGGACGCTCATTATTTATTAACGGGGGGGGGAGTGGGGGCGGTTGGAATATTTTCTTTGTGTCCGGATAAAACTTACCTGATCCCCCATAAGACTGAAATATTCGAATGATCCACCTCACTCGCAGTCAATATTTTAGCTGGCGATGACTGATCTTCCCTCGTTCCTCCTGAAAACCACGTGTTTCCCCAAAATACCATTTCCCCCCACTCCCCCCCCCCCCAGCCAAGGCGATAACTAATGAGGGAGAGCCATGTTGCATACTAAAAATGGACGTTATTTGAGCTGATAAAGATCTGATCATACCTTAATATGACAAGAAGTATGTTTATTATTGTATTAGATTGCAGTCGAACTTTTTCATATCGTGAATCTTTGGGCAGCAGAGGGGCGTTTCTCAGTTAAATCTGTGAGCGTTCCAACAAAAGATTACTCTGAGAAGCACTCTGGAGTCTGGCCAATATGGTTATTGACACTAATGATAGGAATGGCTTTGTCTGAATATTTTAAGGTCTTTTAATGGAATATATTCAGTATTAGGTTTCTTAAGCGCACTTTTCACCTCAGTTCAATTGTATTTATTGTTGTTTATTGTCATATGTACTTATTGCTGTACATTGTAGCGTTCTTTTTGCTGAAAAGTTCACAAGTTCTTCCCAAGAAATTTAAATTTGTTAGTCGATGTCGTAATTTGGATAGGTTTCACTGAAGCTTATTTGATAAAGGTAGGCCTTTTGCAATTTTCGATGGCTCGCTTAATAAAATTGCTCTCTGGACAGAGGAAAAAACAAGGAAATTGAAATTTAGCCCCCATTGGAACAAAAATCAAAATTGTAACACGGGCCCCAGGTTTGAGAGCTAACCCCCATATTTTGCCTTGTTTCGTTGTGTTCCATCTCCTTCAGGAGATTTTGAAAAAAAAAGAATCTTTACCTATTTGACATCGCCGTACTGCATCATTCTTTCTTCAGACGTTTCCCGTAGATATTATGCCCACTCCTCTCTCGGCTGTCCTTACATATTAGCTTTTATTTTCATTCCAGGTTATTTGGTGCCACTGGACAATGCGCACACTGCTCCAAAACGATACTACCGCTGGAAATGGTGATGCGGGCTCGTGAGCACACGTATCACCTTGATTGCTTCGCCTGTCACATCTGCCAGTACAGATTCTGCGTCGGCGACAAGTTTTTCCTCCACTTTCAGGTGGTACTTTGCGAGGCTGATTACTATGACATCACAAGCATTTTCAACGTCAACGACATGGCTTACTATGTGTGACTTCCGGTGATTTCTCCCCTGATCCTGATACACCATTTTAGAAAGGTTTGAAAAAGGACATGCAGAGAGCAACTCACGATCAAAAATTAGAATGCTTTGGACTGCATGCCTCCTATGTTTTCTCATCTTTGTCCATCAGCTTTAACGTGATAACTCCAAATACCCTTTAGCTTTTTCTTTTAATCATATATTTGTATCTTAGCATCTTCGGTGCAATGAAAAGAGGATATTACATGGCCGCGCGGAGATACGAAATTTATCTTCGAGCGCTGACAAATGTTTCACGAGTGAGCGAGGCGGACGAGCGAATACTTTTTAACAAGAGAGGAGGAATTTCGTATCTCCAAGCGGCCATATAATATCTTCTATTTATCATATAAACACCAATAAAATACTGAATAAAAGGCGCTGCGTCAAAGGCGCGATTTCTGTATGAAACCATAGCGACAGTGATCTTTTCACGCGTGAAGATGACATGTTATCTTTACGCGTGAAGATATCATGTTTTCGAGCAAAAGCTCACTTGGTATTCCACTGATGTTTATATACTAAAAACGTTTTCTAATTGTCATCTTATTATTGTCAAGTAAGTTTTGGGGAGAAAGACTTCATTCAGATACCGAATGAAAAAGTACTCTTGAACATCGAATTCTGAAAACCTCTTGACTCTTACGTTTCAACCACAAGTTCTCTAGAAGGAAACTCAGGAATTCTAATGAGAGGACTAGTACTTTGTAAGGTAGAAATAAATAAGCCTCAAACTAAAAAAAAAGTTACCACTTAGCAGTATTTTTACAGAAAAGGCATACAAGGTCATGATAAGCGTTTGAATACCCTCATTCCTCTAAAATGCGTTTATTATAAAATGCTAACAGAGCAGTCTGTCAGAATTAAATGCTACAATACAGACATCGGGTTTTGACAACATTTGATCATTTAATACAAACAACATCAAGGCTCTTGTGCAATTGATTTGTTGGCAGGACAATTTTCCTTTTTTATTAAATCATTTCTCTCCCGGCGAACAGACTGGAGTACCATTTTGTATACTAAATAACCCTAAGCTTCCAGACGGTACCGAAGAAGGCCCCGGGTTGGCATCGGAATCTGTCAGAAACTAAAATCTCCGTATTACATAAAACCAAGAAAATGCCCGTAACCATGTGATCCCCAAAAAGTCTCCAATCCCCCTCCCCCCCGATAAATAATGACTGAACCCAAGTACTCGTGAAGTCAATTACTGGCTTTATCATTTAAAAAATAAGGAAGGGTTTTAAAAACATTTTACTCATTCAAAACAGTTACTGTATCTCCTCTGCCATCCACAGAGGGTCAGTAACTTAATAAAATGAATCTTCCAGAAGAAACTTTTCGGGTTTTCACTTTCGATTCATTCTTCTACCAAAAATGAAAGGTCCGAAGAACAAGAATGCGTTGTAAGGCTCTATTGTTAAAGGCTCTTTTAGGTTTGTACCTAGGAAATCGATAAATGGAAAGCAAGCAGAGCACAGACTTTCTTCGGGTAAGGAAAATAGTAGACTTCGTGTATAAAAAGTGTTGAAGCAAAATTTTATTTCTCTTTACAGTAATTGGACTTTTGAATCTTTAAGATAGATTTTTACACAGACAAGCTCTTTCGAGATGCTCTTGATCTTGTTACTACAAAATACAACCTTTCTTTTATCTCCTTCAAAAGCTATCAGTACGAAATATTGCAATAAACAAAAACAATTATTGATCAAAGTAGAAATTTGCTAAAAAGTACAAGGCCTAAAACCCACTCATATGATTGTGAACGCATTAATGGATTTCCAATCTTAGTGAGAAAAACGTTTAGGAAGCGAATCAAAAGTCAGACTTGATCCCAGTTTCCCTGTTGTTTGACACGGTGGTCCTGAAATGAGAGAAACAGCTTGAGAGAGGAGTTGACACGAGAAACTGAGATCCCCTTGAGTCACCAAAAGAAAGGAGTCTGATAAAAGTAACCCCTGTCGCCATAATAGTGATCTTGACAGCGGATTGTGTTGTAATAAAGGTAGAACCTGTCTCCAACGCAGAATCTATAACGACACACGTGACAGGCGAAACAGTCCAAGTGATAGACGTGTTCACGAGCCCGCATGACCATTTCTAGCGGTGGAATGATTTTCAAGCATCGAGAGCAAATTCCTGTGGCTCCAAACAACCTAGATAAAAGGAAACAAAAGATATTGTGATAATATTATAATAAGGTAAAACTAGGCAAAGAAGCAGAACTTTCTTTCAAAAATGTGAATTGTTTCACGAACCTCCATCCCTACCCCCCCCTTTCCAAAAAAAAAAACAACAAAACAAAAAAGATAAAGATAGAAAACAAAATGGATAAGAATCAATTTCACTTTACAAGCGTCGCGTCCAACGTGGCTTGGAAATATCATTTACTATTTCAGATATTTTACTTTTCAATAAAGTGCTCTCCATGCTCCACCAAAGCGATAAAGGGAAAATCTATTATAGCTCTGCTTAAGGTCAAGGCTGAGCTGTACGATTGTTTTAAAACAAAAACGGCTAATTGGCATTACAATGCTTATAACATGTACAGTGGGGATCATTTTATCAGCTGGGAAGGCCTTCGGCTTTGACTTTTTTTCCTTTTGTCCTGTAGTTATCCACATGCGCAGAGCTGAAGTTATCTCCTAGTAGTTGATATCCTTGAAGTCGCTAAAGAACATCTGCCAGATTATTGTTTCAAGTTTCGGGCAATTAGATATTACAACTAAATTTAACATTAAAACAAGATGAATGTCAACCTAGACGACGGCATACCAGCGAGAGAGAATAAGATTTGTCAGCTCTTCTTGTCGTGTTAAAACCTTAGTTTGGTTAGCACAATTGTTTCGTGCATTCAGCTGTCTATTATCGCATTATTCTGCACTTGAAAAGTTTGAAGAGCACTCAGAAAGCTACCATCACTTATTATCTTACGCGTTGTTTTGTTATTTTCTCATTCCTGTCTCTTTCTCTCAGATTTTCAATTTCTTTAGTCTTATTACGGGTCAAAAGTCGTTGCGATGAAACAATAAAACTAATTGTCAATCAAAGCGCCGATGTTAAGAACCGACCGAACCTAACCCGGCTCTGTCTGCTTGAAATAAGATTAAAAAGATTCTAGGATTAACATCTACGAGGAGTTTTCAAGTATTTTGTTTAGTATCAAGCTGTAAATAATTTGTGCGTTGACACTTTAACCAAGTCAAGGCGAAGAAAGAGGGGAACTCTGATTGAGAAAAAAAATCAAATTTTGGCTCACTGCACTATGTTTTTTTTCCAGTTCTGATGAAAGTTGCGGAGTCTCGACCGTCAACATTCCATATAGAACGCGAACTTTCAAGAGATGACCTCAGAAAACACTAATCTCTAACATTTTAGCACAGGGTCACTCAGTATTAGCTATTTTAGCAATCCATTGTACAAACAATTTTTGGACACTGAAATATGCGACGTGAGCATGGAATTGCAGGAAATAAGAGTGTCTTCATTTGAAATTTTACTGATATGCGTTTCTGTAATCGCTATTATGTGATTTAGGATGTAGTTACGGCGACGCCAAGAAAATCGTCGCCGGAAAATTCCTTTCAATTCCTCTAAGAATTTCGCCTGTAGTTTGATGTTTTAAACGTTTCTGACGCTGCAAGATCTCTCCTCCAGCATTAAATGTGAATTCAGTGATGTTTACTTTAGTCTCATTGCCGTTACTGTTAGGATAGTCTTTAAGTCCTTAGGAACGGAAGTCGTTTTAATTGTACTCTTCAAAACGTAATTAATGAAGTCTTTACTGTTTATTCAATAAAACCACGAAATTGCACGATAGCCACGAAATAGTATGAACTTTTGCTGATTGAATTTCCCAAGAACTGAATTTTTATTGAGCACTGCAAAAAGCTTTCTATCACTTCGGCTACCCTCTCAAAATAGGAAGAGCAGATGATATGCAAACTGAAATTGCCTATCAATAGTCTGAACTGGCCTGTGAGATCGATCCAGTCATAAATAGAATAACCTTCTTTATGTCATAAAACCAACGGCTGCCAGATTCTTCAGTTCCTAAATTGTATAAAATATTCTCATGGAATGTAGAAGGAAAAAGGCAACGCCGCCATGGATAAAAAAAGTGACTGATCTGGTTCGTCAGCTTGCTCGGTGAGATGTAGATTGAGAAGAAGATGCAAATTTTGACACAGGGCCTTTTTTATTAGAAGTTACATTAAGTTATTTATATTGTCTGAGCCTCTCAGGAATACTCAGTATAAAAATTCGCGTGAAGCGATCAAGAAACAGTCTCAAGCCGAGAAGTTGTCAAGGCACCGAAACTTACTCAACAACTCATTCTATTTTCTGCATCACCACTTTTAAAGTTCTCAGTTTCAGCCTTGAGTTGTTCAGATTCTAGATAAGATTTTAAAGAATATTCGTTTATGGAAGTACATCTCAAAAGAATAATATTCAAGGAAGAAAATCAAGGAACAAGGAACAAGCATGCCACGGAAAGGAAACAAATTGATCAGTTGCAAATCATACCGCATATGACACCGTTAGATATCCGTTGAAAATAATTCGTTGCTAGCGCGACGCCGCATCATTCAGAACACGAACTATTTTTTTGCGAGTATTTGACATTTTGTTTCTGTGTATGTCATGTTAAACTCGTGAATGTGCGGTTGGAAATCCATGTGGAATGGAAGACCAGACTCAAAACATCATGAAGTTTGAGGTAGGGACTTAGAACGCGATGCCAGAAAACTTTGCTAGAAAACTCGGAAGGGCCTCGAATGGGACTCTTGGTCAGGACAAAACACCTCGTTATACCAGCCATGCACGAACTTTTTTTTACGAAAATAATTTATTACATGCTAAATCTTTTGCGCCTTTAAAGTACTTTCTTAACTGTTTTTCAAGTTTATCATAAACTTGATAATCAAACTTTCCTTAGCCGGGCAACGTGCGGCTAGTCACGCGAAAACAAACTGTTCAATGTATTCAGAAACACACAATACAAAAACTAAAGAACATGTTTTTACGATTTTAGTTGCCTTTATTCTTGAATGAAACAAAGAAATGTAGTCACTAGATACATCCTTCAGATGGGGTCGATTTTTCCGTAGGTTGTGGGTTTTTGTTCATCATGTACTCAGTCTCGTCACTGCTCTTGTTTAGATTTTGAGCCTTCTAGTTTCCTTGACATTATATATATTAAGCATTGAACTTTTCAGTAGCTTAACAGAAGTTCATTGGTGGCAGGAAAACCACAGGTTCTGAGTATGTATCAAATCTGGCTTTTACGAGAACACATATAAAATCAACATATAAAATCAACAATTTTTGGGGGGGATTTTTGTCTACATCAAGGTAATCCAGGACCCATTTTCGTGTTATATACGAATTTTATCACAAAAAATTACTTCAAGTTAAAGAACTATAGCATAAAATATTCCGTGATTGTTTTTGAAACCGCATATCCTCCCACAAGAAACCTCATTTCATATTTCTTCAAATCTTAGAGCTAAAACCATAAATTATTCAGTCCTCTCATCTCTCTGACGAGAGAACACAAATATCGCACTGACGTCGTCGCTAATTTTAAGTGTCTCCGCTAGAGTAAACTTCAAACTTCCCTTGTAAAGGCGTTTTTGGATTCATTACCGTACATTTTCTGTTAAGATCGAACGAAAATAACCCCGATTTTAAACAGAGGGGCAACTGAGTAAGGATTAACGAGCATCTTGACGGATAGTGCCGGATAAAGATGAATTTCATTAATTTATGTTAACAGGTTTTTGGGGTTCTTGAAAGTTGTTTAAACCTCGAAATCTTTTAATCCTGTTAATGTGGAATACAGTTTCGCAACGCGATTTAACCTCCATGCACGGAAATGAAAGATTCCCAAGACAAAACATAATGCCACGATATGTTTCAAGTTTAAATCATGTGTTCGTGATCAGAGCATAAACATTATGAATTATTGATACCATAATGTAAAATATAAAACGTCATAAGAATATTACTTTCAGGTAAAAATAATGAAAGGAATTGCTGTCGTATTTCTCCTACGGGAAAGAGTTTTGCTACATCGATATTACGCCATTTTCAAACTTCTGATCCTAGCTACAGCGCTAAGTAATATATCTCATCGAAGATGCAACCCTGTTTTCAGTGCCACAATATATTTAACAGTGTCATCCAGTCCGTGCGCTTCAGCATTACAGGAAGTCTTTGAGCTTTACTCGTTTTACTTTCGAACAGATTTGACGAGTTTTCCTTCAGATTCCGGCTTGCAGAATAAATAAAAGAACTGTTGTTATAATAAGAAAACTTCTCACCTGATGTAATCTCGCTTACAAAGTATTTGATCTCCTTTGATGTAAAACTTGAAGCTTAAATCAGACAGTTGAGTATTGCAATACGAACACTTCAAACACTCTTCATGCCAGAACTGGTCTAAAGCTCGCAGCAAAAACTTCCCCTCTATCTTTTTGTTACACTGCGCACAGATTTTCAGTTCCTTAGACTTTTCTTCTTCCACCTTTTCACCATCATTCTCTTTGTCTTCTGCAAGTGAGAAGGCGCTCATCAGAGCACAATTGAAATGTTTATAACGCGCGTGAGCCCACGCGTGTGTGGCTGAGAAGTTCCGCTCACGGCCGAATGAGGATTCAACAGTTCATTATATTCACAGCTGCGGCTCACTTATAATCTGTTGGCTAACAGCTCGTTTACCTGCGGCATATAATTTTGCGCCTTTCTGTTATTATGATATCGCTTTCGCTTCCTTGCTACAATTCTGCGGTTTGACTACTGCAGTGCTGTAAAGAATTGAACAATTTTAAATCTCATAAATTAAAAAGTGAAATAGGCTTGAGTTTCCGTCGTTCATCATAAAGTCTTGAATCCTCTAGAAGCGAGGGGATAAATCGCTTATTACTGAATACATCCGGACATTCTAACGCCTACTGAGAAAATTTAAAGAAAGCTGTTGAAACATTAGTTAGGCACGGGGGCGAAAGAAAAAATTATGGGGTCTGACTCAAGGTTTCAATTTACTGGCTTGTGCGGTTTAATAAACTCTGTTATTGCCAAACACTTAAGCAATGTTTATCTTTATGTCATCAGCGATTCGAATAACTAAGTCTGCAAAAGCTGTCTTTCTTTGAAAAATCTGTGTGTAAAACAAACTTCAAAAGTTTGGTTAAAAAAAGTCAAAAGTGGCAAGGAATACCTTAATTCACAGACTGAATTATTTTGCAAAACGGTCATTGTACATCATAGCCTAAAACTTGGAGTTAGTGAATAAAAAGAGGTTTATCAACCACAAAAAAACTTACCCATCACTACTATTGGTGCGCTATGTTTGGTCGGCAAAACTTTTCAGTGGCACTAGAATACCTCAGTCCAGCTGTTCGGAGAATTTTGAGACGTACACTTGCATTTAAATCGGCTTTGGATATTTCAAGGATCGAGTTTCTTCCAGCAAATTCTCTGCGTTTTAATCATCAAAGGGTCTAATTCCAGAATAGGCTCTCTGAGCGTACTAAGAACTCGCGATAATATTTCTTATGAATCAATCACTGCAAGCTGGATAGAACTATACCTGCGAAAGCCAAAGACAATTTCACAATTCGTAAAAAACACATCAGCGTTGCCTAAATAGATTTTGTATCATTCGATTTTTATCTCTCAGGAAGCGATTTTTTTAAGTTCATGGGAACTTGAGAATTTTTCTTAACCTTAAGAAATATAATCTAACTGTTGCAGAGGGGGTACTTTCCGGTAATGAGCTGCAACTTGTCAGTATACTGCAGAATTATGTATTTTTTTAAGGTAATAAAAGCCGATTTCATCGACAACAGGACATAGACCTTTAAGAGATAATTTAAAAACTATACAGTTGTTTCTTTTTGTTTCAAAACTTAATGTTTTGGATGTGAATTTAACGTTTTCTTACCAGCTAATTCCAATCACTCATTTCCTTTATTTTTATAGACGCAGTTTTAAAAAATATTATCTACAATTCAGGAATGGTATGAGGGTATAGCGACGATCGACCTGTTCTTTTGATCCACCCAAGTAAAGAATAACCCTAAAAATTTTTACCTCAAAAATATTTTCACTATTCGGCTGAAATTTAAAGTCTTACAGACACTATAAGATATGCATCATGTTAGCCATTTTTTTTTTCTTTGATGCGGGAGATGTAATCGTGAAAAATCAAACGTGGTTGAAAAGGAAATCCGCGTACCAACGGAGCGGAAACAATTGTTGACTTTTCAGATTGTTTTGCTGACAAGAACGTGATCAACTATCTGTTTATTACATATAACCTGTCTTGTAAAGCCGCGAGAGAATTTCAAGGAATTTTAACCGAAGGAGGAAATAATAACATATAGATGTCGCAAATTTTCCCTCGGGAATATCACGTGTGGAGATTAGGATCAAAATATTAAATTGCTACTTCAATTCTAATTCCCAAAGAAGTGAATTTTTTTTTTATGAGTTAAATTTATGAAAACAACTCCAATTTCATTTCCGTTGCAATTACAAGTCTTTTTAATGGTCTCTACGGCTCTCTACAGTCGTCCATGCGAAGTCTATTCTCATTTCAAGCTAATTTTGTTGAGATAAACCTTTCCATAACTTCTGCATCGTTTTCGTGACTGCTTTCAAGAGATATTTCAGTGTACTTTCAACACTCTCTCGATCTATGTCGATGAAAGAGGCGCTCTTTTGGAGCGAGTCAGGCGAGTAAGTGTTTTTCTAACCTCACCATAGTAACAGGTTTGACAGCTACGTTAGGACGCGTCCCAGGTGCAAAAGTTCACTTTCTTCTCCTTCTCTCTGATAAAAATCTACTTTTAACGCATTTGGCTGTCAGAAATAAACCAACTGTCACGAGAACTGTCTTGAGGTTTTGTGGTAATGCAAATAGTAGGCATTTTTTAAACTGAGTTTCGGATTTAAGCGCAATCGAAACTAAGCATTTTGTTACCGTCACCTCAAGGTACATGTAAAATTTAAAGCGGGGGAGCATTTAGGATGGACAAACGAACACCACGTGCTTCAAAAAGGAACAGGTAAATATGTAAACAAATAAGAATGATGGAGAAACACACAAACACAAAAGATCAGTTTTATTTAAAAGCTCGCAATGATTTAGAGTGCAAGAGAGTGTGTCAGAGGGTCAGCGATGAACGACGAGGCTTAAAAAACATCGCTACCAAAAGCTAATTCTTCCGTTGATGTAATCACCTTCTTCTTGTTACCATAAGGCTTGGCATTTCTGTTCAGACACTGCAATGTGCTAGTTCTTTTCTTGCGCTAAATAATTAAGCTATCCAGCCCTGCTAAACAAAATGACCTGTGGAAGCGACGCAAAACTAGAGCAGAATGGAAGACGTTGTCATCCTAAACTATACCCTAAACAAAAAGCTGCGTAGCAATTCCTTACACACTAGCTAAGTCTATTGATTGATCAAAAAATTCTTTTAGAACTTTAGAAGAAAGCTTTGCAGGATAAAGCATATCTTGTGAGAATTCAAATCCCAAATTCCTCCGCTGTGTCGGTGGAGATGTAAATAAATTGATCGTCTTTGAAAATCGGAATTCTTAAACCTGCGGTTCCAACATTATCTTCCGCACAATAAACTCTCCCCAATATAAAGGTAAAATCCTTCTTAAGTTGATTTTACCTGTAACAAAAAGTAGAATTGGCTTTCATAAGTGCGTTTGGATCGATTCTTCCTTCGCTAATGGGTGCGCGTAGAGATCCTTCATCTTCATTCGATATATCAGTGATTAATGCTTCTTTTTTTTTAATTCACTCTGAAATCATTTTCAAATACTATTTGATAAATCTGCTTAGCTACGGTCTTGCGGGCAATATCCCCGCACATGACTAAACTCTCATAAAAAATAACTTTCATGTTTTTCAAATACTTTAACTTTTGTAGGGCCTCCACAGGAGTCGATTTTAAGATGTTCCAAAACCACCTGATGGTAACCCAAATATTTGGCACAAATACGCCCCCAAGAAGACTTCATTAGCACAATTAAGCAAACGCCTGCGTCAGGTAAATTTTATGATAGGCTTGGGATCCATCTAATTGTAAAAGAAAGGGATAATTTTAGCTCCTAATTCACAACATCTATTTTTGCTCGGGTAATTTACTTAGTGACTATGACTTCCTGCGTAGCTCAGGGATGTCTCGAGTAAATATAAAGACTTTGTTAATTAACTTAAAATAAAATGAATATTGCTTTGCCTCCTTTAAAACTTCTCAGCTTTCCTTCATATCTTTACAATTTGAGACAATTGAAAGGCATTTAAGACTGTGAAAAGGATTTTTTCATAAGCGGGACATTTAAAGCCTGTTTCAAAAGGGAGTGGAAAAGACTTGGACTTCCATACAGTCTTCTACAGAAATAGATAAAAATAAAATTATTTTTAACAAGGCAATAACGAAGCATCGGAAAGTTAAGCCGGAAACTGGATCTTCGTATCTTTACTAAGTCTTGTTTGGATAAGAAGAAGCCAAGAAGGCTTGATTCAAGGAAATGCTCGCTCTAATTTCTATTCAAGACTTAGGAAAGCTTAAAGTAGTTATGGCTTCATCATTCCAGTTAAAAAGACTTGAGGGCCTAAACAGCTAATAAACTGAGAATCTAGATGATCTATAGCTAAGTAATGTTGCACAAAACTTATTAGAGATTCCAACTCCGTGGAGTGAATATAAAAAATGAGAGAATTGATGCACAGCGTGTGGGAATTTATTCTTTGAGATCGTTTCGACAGAAGCAATGCTGAGGTCAAACTTGCCAAAACTAAAATCAATTTTGCATTAAGTTAAGTCCAATCGACGCTGACATGCTGTGCACTGATGTATAGGATATCTTGGTAGCAGACTGAACTAATAATAACGCTCTTGATATGAATTTATGCACTGAAGAGGCTTTCAGCAAAACTGAAAGGCGTAATCTCTAGGATACGTTACAAATGAAGATCTGGAATTCATTAAAGAAGAGCGTCTATCTTTAATTTGGACGGACACAAAAGAACACATTTACCTTTATCTAGTCAGAATCTTTTTGTTGATTATTAAACCTATATGAAAGATGGAATCACAGTTCTCTCAACGTCGGCACTCGTGAACTATGCTGATAATCAAACATTCTCTCGAGGAAAGAAAACCCACTCGTCATTGCATAGTGAACAATTTTTGGGACGAAATAAGTGGCTACGTGCATAATACAATAAAATGCCAATGTCTATTTAAAAAATAAACGATATTGAGTATATTGAGGTATAAAAGTACGCTGAAAGTTTGAAAAGCACGAGAGAAACGGAAGAGATGCTGAAGGCGCGGCCGAGAGCAACCTGCTTCTGCTCCCCACATATTCAAACTACATTGATGCGCACAGCTAAAGCCATGAACCATTTGAGTTATAGCATCGCAGTCAAATTCTGTGCAAGAAAAAAAAATAACTGTTTTTCAGCATTTTTGTCAGGCTCACTTGATAATCGCTTGCTACCCGATAAACTATGAATAACAGATAGGCAAAGATGACCAAGAATTATTTCGAGACCAAAGCTTTTTTCAGAGAACTGCTAAGGGACCCAAAGTTGTTGTTTAGAAGCGAAGTACATATGAATTTCTTTCGCGTACAAGACCTGCGTAGCAGAGTCACTATGCTTGAATCGTTGTT